TTTTACGTACCATAAAACACCTAAATTGACCGTGTCACGTGGCCCGTGGGCTTTGTTCTGCTTTTTTGTGCGCATTGTCTACCGTCCGTAGTGGGAAGTGGGGACCACAACCGGAATGATGCCTTGCGGGGCTCGATACGTAGCGGCTAATGGTCCGGCGTGGGCTAGCCCACGATCATTAGGCTCACGGGGGGTGGGGGGGGGGCTGGGTATTTTCAGGTGGACCCCAAGTCGTTATCCCGTTTAGGGCCCACATGATGGTGCGCTTATTTTTATTTGTCCGGTGCTCATGGTTGGGGCCAGGCAGGCAGGCAGGCAGCCACCACACCAGTTCGTCGCCTAGGTTTAAGGATGGCAATGAAGCTTAGAGACAAGCGCGTACTTATGCTTGTATGAAATGTTGAGGCAAAGGATAGAATTGAAGTGAAGCAAAAGTCTCTAACGTTACCCAAGTGTCATACCGGCCCTACCCCTGCTTGCTTGGCGTTTGCCTGCTGTTAATACGCATTTTGCGAATGCAATCATTTTTTGTTATAAATATTTCTATACATCCAAATAATATATGAAGTTATATATATATATATATATATAATAATCTACTTTATTCCAGTGATATAGATTTTGAGTTAATCTCATTCAACTTCTGTAAATTACGTATTTAAACTTCACAAATTCATTTTTTTTCTTTTACTTAACTAGTATATGTAATTAATTTTAATTTGATAAAAAAATATAAAGTTATATAAAAAAGGTTATATAAATTTTTTTTTATATTTTTAGTTTAAGAATGGGAAATTCTTTTTTTTTTTTTGTGTGTCTTTTAGGTGGCATCTTGTTTTATTAATTTTATAATTAGCACAAGTGTTTGGATCTTTGATTTGGTAAATTTTAGTGGATTAAACAACTTGTCTCATTTGTAGATGCTACGCATCGAAATTTGTTAGCACACAGATTACATTAAAGAAATTCAAATTGGCATATCTAGTATTTCACCTTAATTACCATTTGTCAATCGCAGTTGAGTTTATAAATCATATAACTACAATTTTTTTATGGTTATCTCTATTATATAATAATAATACGTTGGGATCTATTTTTTAGAGATTGTCTAAACATTTAATACTATATTTAACTAAGATGCATCTAATTGCCCGATGTTAGTTAGTTGGTTTAGTTAAAGAAAACGGATTTGTAATTGCTCACGTCATGTTCAGTGTAAGAACTGGAAAATGTTAGTTAAAGAATATTGTTTCCTTTTTGTTCTTTTGTTATGATTCAAATAAATGAAATGCGAAGGTTTTTTAATGAAGAAAGCAAGTGGAGTGGAGCTGAATCCCAACCGATGGTGGGGCCTCTGTTTAATCATTGCTGATGATATAAACCCATTAATATAATTGTTTTTTTGGGACATGGGCAACTCCTCCAAAGGGTTTCTGTTCTGAAATGGATGGGCAAAGACCAGACTACAGAGCCTTCTTTCTTCTTGTCTTGTCACTTTGGTGAGTTCTAATTGGATACCAACTAGAAATATAAAGCTTATGAAAAATAAGATGACACATATGGATCATTGTTGTCCAAAAACAACAGACTTATACACAAGAAATTAGCTTTGTTAGATATATCTGTGCTGTACTGTTAAAAAACCCACGTCTTCCGATTGGCCTTTTTTTCATTTCTGGGTATGAACTTGTAAATAAAGAAAAAAAAAAAGGAAAAAGAAAAGATCTATGTAATTTGAATTGTGCAATAAAGTTTTTTTTTTTTTTTTGGTTTTTCAAAGAACATTTCATTGTTTAAAAACTTGAGTTTTTAAATTAAAGATTTTAAATTCAAATTTTAAAATGAGTGATGAGGAGTTTTGAAAAAAAAAAATAATCTCTTATTTTATAATTTATTATTTGATGTACAAAAAAACATATATTTTTCTCTATTTTCAATAATGGTTGGATTTTTTAATTACATTTGTGAAATGTTATTGAAACTTCCTCTTACTTACATGTTCAAGATTCAATTTCTAATTTTACGTATAAAAAAAATTTAAAACGTATTAAAAAAAATTGAAATGTGAATGAGAAGTGACAAGAGAGGCTCCTTAAAGAAAGTACTTGGGAATTAATGTTTGAACTAAGTCATTTCAAGGAATACTTTTTCTCCTTGGAGAAAAAGGGTATGGAGTAAAGTTTCGGCATGATCCACAAAGTAGGCCATGAGTTTGATACATACCAGAATTTATACTTTGTATAAAGTATGATTTGAATGTATATCAGAATGGGGGCGACTGTCCACCCGTTTTTTCCCAGGGGATTATAATTTTTGGTCTTTTTTTATCTCTTTTCTTGGAAACTTAATTCAGGTACTGAGGAAATGAGATTTTCCAATCCATTCTAGTGGAATGTACAACATTAATCTTTTCCTTTTTTTATATATGAAAAAAAAAAAGGCACGCTTCTCGTTAGGTGCCTAGGGTTTCTTGCTTTTTTCCTTTCTCAATATTGCTATTGAGTGGGAAAATTTTATATCAAAAATATAATTAAAACATATGTAAGCTAAATGTAAAAGCTGCTTCTTTACCTATTACCATTAATTTTTTTTTTTTTTACAAGAACAATAGTTAGTAAGTTAGTTTATTAGTTATTAGTAACTGAGAATTCGATCCTCAGATTTAGTGAACATCCCACCTTCCTCAATGAGGTGCACGACCCATCAGGTCGCTTGATCGAGTTCTATTACCATTGATTATTGATTAGACACAAATTGTGCATTGAAACTTAGGTGTCTAATTCTCACAAATGCCTTGCAGGCCGCCCAAATAAGCCTGTAACCAATCAATACGTCCAGCCCAAATTTATGGGCTGCGACATGAAATTTGCTTTGACATGTCTGATCCATATGTAAGTTTCATGGTTTGGACCATATCTGGCCTAATCTATGCATTCGATCCAATTTTCAACGCACATGGTAATGATGGAAACCCCACCCCAAAAAAAGAGAAAAAAAAGGGCAATGTTTAAAACTTTCAATACACCAAGCAACAGTTAAATTGAGGCATCTTGGTCGCTACGACAACAAATCAAAATCAAACCATAGTTACCCTACTTTTTCCAAAGAAGTATTCTGCTTGCTTTAGAAACAAGAAACAAGAAAAAGAATCAATTTGACTCAACAACTGACCTATGTTTACCGATTCAATCATCCTAAGTTTCAAGGTTTGGGCTAGCTAGGGTGAGTACCAACCCTACTACATGCGCGTTGGTGTCTTGTTTCCTGTTCTCAAAATCATAGTTGGTACTACTCATAAATTTATTATTTATCTCAACAAAAACTAT